TATGCATACTGGAATTCCATCTGCAGATGCGGGCTTCCGTTTTCAGTGAGATAGCAAGTCTTGGTTTACCTTTTCGAAGAAAGCGAGGGCCTATGATTCGTGATACTGCGCCGTTCCCATCCGGTGCTCCGACGCCAGGGCCCTCCCAAACGCCTCACTTCGATTACGACCCTTGCCATCAGACAATAGTAACTCCTATCCGCAGAGCTGAACCACCCGTATATCTTCCATCACGTTACGGATATGCAATTATTTTTTGGAAAATTGAGGAGCTAGACATCTGTTCCAGTATTGAGCAAAGGCTGATGGCTGATGCCCGGCTGACTGTGATGGTTCTTTAATGGCGCTAGCGATAAAGGGTCTAGGACTGTTTGTACTTGACGGGCGTGGCTCTTGATTGCTAAAGCACTTAGAGCACACCAAGTCTCTGACAGACTGGCAAAGATTTCCCAGTACAGTGGTTGTTGGAATATAGTGATCAATCAAGAAAATGGCATGCATGCTTGAACCAGGTTCCACACTTGTGGAAGTGAAGAGCCTGATGACTCGTAAGCAGGAGAGAGTAGACTTCAATATTTGCTGGCAACACTATCAGAGACTACGACAAAGGTATGAATTCGTCATATAGATTCAAACATAGTTCTCACAGTGTCAACTGAAACTTCCGTCAAGTTCCATTATGCTAGAATACATCCGCTCACGCCCGCCATCGACAGCTTCTTTGAAGAAGTCATCACGCGCTCCCTCGTTGTTGGCTTCCTGTCAAGTTCCTTCGAAAGCCTACGTTGGACGCCCGAAAGACTTGAGTGGTGGAAACGTCAAAGTACGCCGCATTTCAACAGCCGTGAGATGACGTGGGCCGCCGAATATATCATGCCAGTCCGCATCCCTGAGTCGTTGTTGTGCGAGATAGAGCTCCGTGTACAGCGCGTGGATGGTATCCGAACTGACCTTCGTCAACCGCGCAACCTCCGTCAGAGTCTTCGGTGCACCGCGAACATGCGAGGCCATGTAGACGGAAGCTGCGGATAATTCTAGCTCGGAGTAGCGGTGGAGCGGGGTTCCGGGATACTCGGAAGCTGCGATCGTGCGGGCGAGTTCGGCGGTGGATAGGTCGAGGGCGAGTTGGTAGCAGAAGCGGAATGTGAGAGCTGAGAAGTTGTGTCGTTTGGCATTTTCTCGGACCACTCGGGCCAGGTAGTCGGCGTCTTTTTCTGATCTGCCTTGAGATTCGTCGCGGTTCTTCATTCCTAGAAGTTGAGTGAGTTTAGGCATGCTGATGTGAGAAAGCCAGTTGCGGTTAATCGAGTCGTGTAAAGAGATTTCTTTGGTTGTTGTTGAGTAACGGGAATGAAGTGTTCTAAGACTTGACAAGTGAAGAGAAATGAGTGGAGTTCGGAAATATTTGAAGAAGGTGGTAGGCACGTGGATATATAGACTAAGGAAGGATCCTTTATGGACGGAAAGCCTCTTGTACTTGACTCTTCAACACCTCTCAATACTTTGTTCAGCTCCATTGACTTCTGGCGTCATGTATCTTTATGTGTACAGTATTTTCGTGTTGAAAGAAAATTGTGTTCATGTGTATTAAGACTCCTGCCTTTGTTCTAAAGTGGCTTTGTTTTTTCTTGGAAGTTGAGAAGAGCTTATGACATGCACAAAGAACAGTCAGATCTGGGAGTACGCAGATTGAAGAGTATTCGTAATTTAGATTGGTGCCATCGAAAGATGTCAACAGCAAATTAGGGTCTGTACATCGGCCACATAGTAAATAAAAAAGCTTCTTCAAGAGTCTCAAACTTGCTTAGACGGCATAAGTCGACCTGAATGCCGGTGTTCTGATTGTTGGTAGTCGTTAGTAGATCACGAAACAAGCAGCTCCAGCACGCAGTGTGGGCCATGATGAGATGGCGCAGTAAGCTGGTCTCCGACCGCATTTCAGCTCACCGAGAACGAGTCATCGCCAATCTTCATCATTGCTGCATGAAGAGTCACCGACAGTAGTCAGTATTCCAGCATCGATACTCACATACACTTCTAAACCCGTCGAGGATTAAAACTTGACGTTGAGGACCGTGTGTCAAAACGCTGCCATCATTCAGCTCACACAGTCTTTGAGGTCCAAGCGATCTCTTTGAAGTGTCTGGCCTTCAGCTGTGGGTCGGTCGGTACGAATAGCTCGCCCGTCTCCGCGGACCTTGCCTTCGCTTTACTGTTCCGCTCATACGCCATTTGAGCGGCCCAGGTGGGCTTCTTCCAGCGCTCCTTGCACAGCTCGTCAAGTATTCCAAAGGACTGACAGATTCCATCCCAGTTGATGGCGCAGGCCAATGTGCTTGCTCTACTGTAGTGTTTTCCTGCGGAACAGTCCATGTGAATTGCCTCCAATCCCAAGTTGCACCACCGGCGCATGTGGATGTGTGCCTCGCATGTCGCCTACTCGCATATTACACGGCGTCTGTCGAAGTGACAGTGAACTTGGTGACTTCTTGATTTCTCCACTCACATAAATTTGTTTCTCCTGTAGAGACACCACCTCTGGTCCACCGTCACATCTATTGCTTCGAAGTACAACCAAGTTGCTCACACGATGGGGAAATTCTCCAAACAGCCCTTTTTTCAACTCATATGCTTGTTGAGCCTAGCCAGAGCTATTCCAAGCCCCCTAACCTTACCGGCAGACACCCTCCTTGAGGACAGCTTTGGCAACAGCCTTCCTAATTCGACCCTCGCCGCAGTCATCCCCAACGACTTCACAAGTAAACCAACTCTCCCGCTTGATGAACCCGTACTCAATCGGCAAAACACTCTCATGCTGACCCTCCACGCCCTCAGTAACCTCGCTCTTGACGATTTTGATGGAGAACAGCAATCTCAGACATGGCGCTCTTTACAGCATGTCTCGATTGACATCCTCGGACCTTCAATGGTCGTTGAATCTGCCCTGGCCATCCGAAAATATGCTGTGTGGGGGATTTACAAAGCTGTCCATTTGATGGTCGCTTCGAATGACTTCCGGTCCAGGAATTATGAGTTGTACTGGCAGGGAACTTTAGTAGGATTTGTTGGGTTCAATACTGGTGCATATGGCGCTCTCAGCATCGGAAATGCCACGACCAATGGGACTGGCCAAGGCGTGCAAGAAGGAAGCTTGTCCGTCTCACTAAACACCTCGTCGGATGCTACGACTACCGATCTAGGCAATAGTCGCACAACTCTTTCCTTTGAGCTCAACGGCCGCGCAATCGGCGAATCCAACGTCTATATGACGCTCTTCACAGGGATACTCAAAGCAGCTCCGTATTCCAAGGATGAGCGCGTACAAGACCTTTTTTTCGTGAACAGCCGCGCTTTCAATACATACCTCAGCTTCAAGGAAATAAACGATCCAGGGCCTGATGGGCCCTATTTTGAATATCAGCAGCTGATTCAGCTATTTACGCAACTGCCTTCGTGGGTGATATCGCATAGTAGTCAGTGGACCGAGGCTTATATGCTGGTCTCTGTTGATGGGAGGCCGGTCGGGGCAGGGGTTTTGAATTGGCAAATTCGTCAAAAGACGGATGCTGCGCACGGTGACAGTGTGGTGACTTCGTGATTAGGTGGAAGTGGTGAGCAGGGTGTCTCATGGATGACAATGCGCGTCGTTTTGATTTACTGCTGCTAGAAATAATCTGGATCTGAGGGTCTGGATAAAAGTCGATTATGAACGACAGGGACAGGTTACCCATGTACCCACAGGGTTGTGGTTGTCAAATGGGTTCGTGCTTGATTGTCAGACGGCAGCTCTGAATGGCCTAATATCGTACAGAGGTCTGCACCGAAAGTCCTGCACCCGCCAAGACTCTTGCGCTCAGACGTCGGATAACGCCCCACCTAAAGGGCTACCTGGACAATGCGTCTGGAGTTCTTCGGAATCGCACCTAGCCCTAGCCAGGTTTCGGGGCTTAATGCCCCTATCAAGCCAAAAGAAGTACCTAAAGTCCCATCCATGCGCTGTGAGAAGATATTTCTAGGCTTCCCCTCTACAGGGCCGCTTTCCGAAAGTAGGGTTAGGGCTGCACTAGTGCGGGTGCAGGACTTTCGGTGCAGACCTCTGTAGTACCTATTTCATGACCTGGCGACTTTCCGCGAGAAATGCCTTCGGCAAAGCATTAAAATTCTCAATGGACAAAAACGATCGCGATACCCACAAACTTTCTTACGAATCCACTCGTTACTATCATTGAATTGCGATTCTATGAAGTCTAGGCGCAACCCCAGAATGTTACACATCGCAGGGATACTCGTAGGGGCTATATTGTTGTCCCATCAGCGCACGAACCCCCCAAACCAAGAAACCGATCGACACTCGCTTGGATTTTGATTCACGTGCTGTCGGAGAATTCTCGTGGGGACGGTGAGCGTGCATTACAACCCCTGGACGCCCAGAGCACATGGCGTTCCTAGAAACCTTGCCGAGACGCGCACCAATCCGTACCCCTGGAAATCTTCCTTTGACGTTACTGCTAAGCTTCTGGCGTGGACCAACGCCGCACCGCATGTCCCCAACACCACACTACCGTCGGCCAGGCTTCCCGCCCACCAACCAACCCCCAAGACAATTTCTCTATTTCCCGAAGACGCCAGTTGAAAATCTGGGGAAACTGGGAAATTGATTCGATCCACAGATATTAGTCGGACTAGAGTCTTTTGAGGTTTCCTACCGAAAGCTTCCTGTCAACTAACTGTCACCGCGATTGCAACGCTCAAGCTCAAAGAAGGGGAAGCAGATTCCCTCATCGTGCACCATGGCGCAAGCTCTTGTGGCAGGCGTTCATGGTTATATAACGAGTTGTCTTACCTTCCCCCCTCGAACTGCATCAAGTGGCTCTCTATACAATTCCTCTTCATGCTCCGACCCTCTTCACTGTCCAAATCATCCATACCTTCTTGAACCACTCTTGTCTTCTCTCACGCATCCTCTCCTCCCTTGACCCTACATTCCTCTCACACGAACCATGCCCCCAGGTTCTGCACTCTTCGGCCAACCTCCCAACAACCAAGATGACTGGTTCATAATCCGAGGCTTTGCCCGCTCGCTCGGCATACCGGACGGGGTGCTGAATCCCAGTCACGGCTTCCCATCACCCCTTCAACGGCCGCCAAACTCTCCCTATGTCTCGCGGGGCCCAAGCATGATTGCTTCCACGGCCGTTGCGATGGCCTTGGTGATATTGATCACCGCTGCTCGCCTTGGCCTCAGGTACTTCCGGAGGGATCTGAAGGTCGGGTATGATGATTTTGTCATCGTCCCGGCTGCGTTGGCCACAGTTGCGTACATGGCCGTAGCGATCGGGCAGGTGGTTTATGGGGGGGCTGGGAAGCATGTTTATGATATGACATATCAAGAGCTCAATTGGTTTTACGAGGTTTGTTGTCCTTCTAGATGATGAGGAGGATATCATCATGAGCAGCTGAAGCTGATCGCTTCGTTCTTTTCTAGCTTGGATTCATTGGCATAGTGGTTTTCTGGATGGCGGTTGGCCTGATCAAAGTCTCGATTGTGTTTTTCAATCGCCGCCTGACAGGCCTCACCTCCCACAGATGGATGATCGCCCACTATGTTTTCCTCGCTCTCATTGTTGGTTTCATGATCACCGCCCTGTTCACTGAACTCTTCCAATGCACCGGTCCCGTCGACCTGAAATTCAGCCTCATTGCCTTGGGCCGTCACCCTACGGGTAACAAGTGTCTTAACGGAAATAAGCTAGGATATGGCTTAGCCATCATCCACAGTACCTTTGACTTCGCCCTCTTGACTGTACCACTGATCGTTCTGTACCAGATGAGAATGTCCACCGGGAAGAAGATCAGACTGGGCTTCCTATTCTCCATCGGCTCGCTTTCTTGCATTGGCAGCGTGATGAGACAGGTAGTTCAGGCTCGCACCTATACCGACTTCGATTTCTCCTGGACCTTTCGACAAGAGCTGGCCTGGATTATCGTCGATATATTCTTTGGAATTGTAGCCGCTTCTCTACCTGTTTTGAACGCAATCCTCCCGAAGCGCTGGAGGTCTTCGAGCAATCACACCCCTCAGCTACGCCACCTCTCCATCTTCAAGAGTGATCCGAGGGACTCGATCAAATTGGAGAGCAAAGACGCTCTTCCGAGACCGGATGGTACGATTGTGGAGGGAGCCGGGCAGATTGACAAAGACTCGTTTCATACAAAGACAGAAAAACGGTGGGATGATGCATTCGTCAAGGTACAGAGACCAGAGCCGGTGCAAGATTCTGGCACCAGACAGGGCGCGGATTTGTCGGATGATACTTTAGTCTGATAGCTTTTTGATCTGGTATGCGAGTTCAGTGGAGTTGAGTCAGTGATATGTTTTGCAAAGCTGTATATACGCCCGATATCTCTGTACAAAGGACCCATACTTCCTTCGTGAAACCTAAAATAGCTGAGGTGAGTTGTATGGAGATCAACTTGGATTTCTGGGAGTTGGCATGACTGTGGTCGACGCTCAAATGTAAAACGTTTGTTCAGCTGCCAGAGACAACGAGTAGCGCAGGACTTCAAGAGATACCCGATCCTCTCAAGACCGAGAGTGTGTTTAGCGCACTTCTAGACTTTGGTCTTTCCCATAGACAGACAGCCTTATGCTGGCGTTGACCTCGACATTTTGATCGTCAACAGACGATCTGAATTTTTCGGCATTGCCCTGCAAAATTATAATCGTGAGGAAGTGAACAAACGCGAACATCAGGAGCGAGTTCACAACGGAGATAAACGATGAGCCAATGGCAATCAGAGGTGAGGCCAATGGACTATCGGATACCCTGAAACGGTAGTAGAAAATGTCATCCCTTCAATATTTCGGGCTGACCAAGCTGCAATATACTATCCTCACAAATCAGCCCCAAATGCCACCTTCTCATACCTGGCCACCAATTCTCATAGACCTTCTCATGCTTTGTCGATAGCGGATCCCCCTCACCCTGGCCTACCGCGGTTTCAGCAGCCTTACAACCCTCGTCCGACTGCTTCATGTCTATCCACACCATCTTGGCTCTGCTAGTCTTCAGCTTGGGATGCGACCTTTTCCAATCTTCTGATCTAACGACAACTCCAGAAGGGTCACCCTGAGGTAGAGGCGGCTGAAGTATGTGGGTTGAGATACCGAGGTAGGAGAGCCAGGTGCTAGACATTGAAAAGAAGGGGAGGTAGCTTATGGGGTGGATGGTGGCGGAGAAAAAGGGTTGTGTTGAACTGGGGTCCGCCCGAAAGACTTCGACTTTGACTGGGGAGGACGTAGATGGGTCTGAAGGGGTGAAGCTGAAGCGCGCTAGATGCCTGTAGAGGGTAAGATTCGAATCGGGGTTCACCTATCACAGTAAAAGGAATAGACGCGTAGCATACTTTGGAATGTTCCAGTTCCTCCTCCCATTCATCAGAGTTGCCTCTTGGCTGACCCAGATTCCTGTTATCCTCGAATCCTTCCCTTTCTTGCCATCAGGCCCAATGGATGAGAAGAAGCCTGGTAGTATGGCCAGCTCGTCATACGTGCCTACAGGACTCTCGCTGTATCTGACGATCTGCGCGAAGCCCAGACCGCCGGTATATTTCCCTGTCTCTTTCTCTGAGCTAAATGACGCTGCATGGAGCTCGAGAGGGTCGTAGACAATGTCCAGAGGAAGGGCGGAAGAGGCGAAGTGGTAGAAAGAAAGGACGTAGACTGTCGCTTTGCAGGTCCATGGGGGTGGAGCAACGGGTAGGGATATCTCGGGTGATGGCGCAGACGTTGACATGGCGGCAAAGTCAAAAGCGTGGTGTTATTTGATAATTGATAGATATGTGCCACGGCGTGAGCGAGTCAAGCCTTTTCATAGAGATCGGAATCGTCGACTGATGACCAACTGGCAGTCAGGCATGACGATAGTGCTTATGGCTTCAATAGCTCGAAAGCGTGCCGTACTGGGCCGGGAGAAAGAAGCCATATTACTGATCTAAACGACATCGACCGAAGCCTACAAGTGAACTAGCCTTCTAAGGTCAAGTGGCGGCTCGCTTGCAGGTTATTGGTCTTGATCGTGGTCGACGGGTCGCTGGTGAGGATCCTCGCCGCCAAGGCTTCGCTTCCTGCCCCTCCTATGCCGACTTTTCACAAGGCTGTGACAGAGTGCTACGTATATGGAAGGCTGCATCTACCAGTGCTGCCAATTCACCTCAGCGAATCGATGAATATGCTGGTCCCTTTATAGTTTGGATGGTCACTTTATAATTTTTGTATGCCAACCTCTCGCATTTTCAGACATTGCTTGAGCCATCTCTTCTGTAAATATGCCTCATCTTCCGTGGAGGTCGAAGAATTTCAGAGTCGAGGATCAGCAACTCCAAAGTGTCCCCTATGACTCTCTAGTAGGGGAAGATCAGCCTAAAGACCTTTGGGATCGAGCCCACAGACTTTTACGTGATGACAAGAGCAACAGACATTTGCTGGTAGCATACGAAAGGATCTTGCTGTCCGAGCTCAACGAAGTTGCATCACCATCAACATCTGTGAACTGGGGAAGTCGTGATAGGAGAAGGCAGGTGTCAGATTTGATAGTGAAGAAACTCAAAGTCATCGAAGACACTCGATGGAGGCTTCAACTGGGAAAAGAGACAGTGAAGGTCAAAGCCCAAGTGGACAAAGTCGTGAAGACTGTGATTTGGGCTCAAGGTTTCGTATCCTCAGCAATCAGCGCAGATCCGCACGCTGCGCTGGCATGGGCTGGTGTATCGCTTCTACTACCATTGCTGCTCAACCCTACATCGCAAAATAAGGCTCTTGTTGATGGCTTGGACTACATCTCTACGCTGATAGCTCGCTTCACCGTCATCGAGGGGATTTATCAGCAGCATATATCGACGCGTTCTGCAACGTCTGGCTCCAATGATAAACCTGAGCTTGAGCGCTCATTCGAGATGCAAGTCACAAAGCTTTACTCGCAAATCTTAGCTTACCAAGCTCGGGTCGTGTGCCAACTTCCACGAAATGCTCTAGTGCGATATGGAAGAGATGTCTTGAAAGCGGATGATTGGTCTACGATGCTTGCTGAGATAAAGACAACAGAGTCCAGTTGCAGCGCAATCTCCGATGTCGTCAGTACCGAAAAAGTAGATGCCTCCTGGAGAGAGCAAGAACGCCGAATGGACGATCTTTTCCGATCGCAGGAGGAGCACTACTGGAAGTTACAACACACGACCGACCAGATCGCAGCTGATCTAAAACAAGCCATTGAAGAACAAAGAGGCTGGCACAGGACGGATGAAGAGTCTTTGTGCCTTCAGGCGCTCTGCAACTCAACGTATGAGGACCGTAAAAACCGAAACCCCGATCGTGTGCCTGGTACCTGCCAATGGTTCTTGAACAATGACAAGTTCCATGAGTGGGCAGAGAATGACTCTTCAGACCTTCTTTGGGTGACCGCAGATCCTGGTTGCGGCAAGTCCGTACTATCGAAGTCGCTCGTCGATAGCGAGCTGGAAAGCACTTTGTCGCTGACCACGGCTTACTTCTTCTTCAAGGATGATAGCCCTGAGCAAAGGAGCGCTACACATGCTGTATGCGCTCTGTTACATCAATTATGCATCCAAAATCGTGCTTTACTACGGATAGCCGTGGGTATCTATCAAAAGAATGGAAGCCAATTAACTTTATCATTTGCCTGGGTGTGGGATTTGCTGCTAGCAGTCGCTCAACATCCTGAAGCCGGTGAAGTCGTATGCATTTTCGACGCGCTCGACGAATGTGAAGAAAGGGATAAAGAGACTTTGATTAGCTCATTGAATGACCTCTACGCCTCCCAAGAAAGTTTCGAAGGCCGGCTCAAGTTCCTGATAACAAGTCGACCCTACTATGACATAGAGGAATCCTTTGACCAGAACACGTTACGACTGGCCGGAGAGGACGAAAGCGACACGATCAAGTACGAGATCGATCTCGTAATCAAGGATAGGGTCTCCAAAATCGCCTCCAGGAAAAGGCTGGACCCCCAAACTTGCGCTGCTTTACAGGACCGCCTTCTACAAACCGAGAATCGGACTTATCTCTGGCTACATCTAACGTTGGACAGGGTCGAAAAGGGGTTCGGTCTAGCTACTCCCAAGAAAATGAGAACTTTCATTGATGAGCTACCGAGAACAATCAATCAAGCTTATGAAGCCATGTTGGATCGGTCTCCTCAGCCGGAGCAAGCACGGAAACTGCTACACATAGTCTTGGCCGCAGTGCGGCCTCTTGATTTGCGTGAGATGAACATGGCCCTCAATATTGAAGAAGGCCAGGCATCTCGGAAGGAAGTCGATTTTTATCCAGAAGATTCGTTCGGCACTTATGTTAAGAATCTCTGTGGGCTCCTTGTGAGCATCTTCGATGCAAGAATATACCTCCTACATCAAACAGTGAAGGAATTTTTACTTCCCAGGGCTATGACCCCTGGTGCAATCAAGCGTACTGACTCGGTCGGAGTGTGGAAACACTCTATGGAGCCAAGTGAATCCAATCTTGTCCTTGCAAGTACATGTCTGTATTACCTTTCATTTGCTGTATTCGACGAAGACACATCCCGCGATGAATACAACCCAGAGAAGAATTATGATTTTCTCATCTATGCAGCTTTGTATTGGCAGAATCATTTCAAATTCGCTAGAGAAGAAAGAAAAGTGATCGAATTGTGGTACTATGTCTGCGATATGGAGACTAGGCGCTTTAATTCATGGTACCAGGTGTGGCTGCAGCACGAAAACAAACATGACCTCAAGCTTAAACCAACTGTGAGAAAGACTTCTCCGCTGATGTTAGCCTCAACCTTCGGTCATGATGTGATTGTGAGACAATTAACTGAAGGAAAGGCTGAGAGAGAGTTCGAAGACTGGGGAGGCATGACACCGTTAATGTCCGCTGCAAAGTACGGGCACGAAATTGTCGTGAGTTCTCTGATCAGGGTTGGAGCTCTTCTGGAAGCACAGGATTTCAGATTGTTGACGCCTTTGGCTTATGCTGCGACCTATGGACATGAACATGTAGTCAGGGTCTTGATCAATGAAGGAGCATTCATAGATTCGAACAACTTCAATGGAGAGACGCCTCTATCACTTGCTGCATATCACGGCAACCATCTGGTCGTCAAAGTGCTGATTGATGCCGGAGCTCAAGTGGCTACTCCCGACAAGAATGGCTGGACGCCTCTAATGGCGGCTACAGCCGTTGGACACCCTAAGGTAGTGGAAATGCTGCTGAAGACTGGAAAATGTGTTCCGGCGGACACTCTTAGGTACACCCAAGGCCTGACGCTTCTGCACCAGGCTGCATACATGGCGAATGAGACGGTAGTGAAGATGCTCCTTGGCGCCGGTTGTTCACCGGATTCTACGGATAATGAAGGTATCACGCCGCTGGGGCTTGCAAAAAGTGGTCTTGGCGCAGAGTCTACCACTCAACCGAGCAACCACCGCCGCTCGAAGCTGGAAGCAGTTATAAAATTGCTCGAGCCAGTCACATCGAAGTGAGTGCTGGACCTGATAAGACCCTTTGAGCCATGTTGTACGTGTTCATTCACCACAATCACTATGGTTCGCCATAGCTACTACTGCGCCGAGGACGAGTATCATGGCCACCGCAAGCTCGCCGAGTCAAGAAGACGTAGACTTAGATCATTGGGGACAAAGGATATTATCCAAGTCAGCTTGATGCCAATAAAGGTGCCATCCTAGAAGGCCGGTGTTCTTTCCATTTGACAGAAGATCGTGCATTCGTGCGGATGCGGAGGGCGATATCCTTCCTCACTCGATAAGGCACGTTTTTCATTCCATATACGACCTAGCTTAAGCCTGGTGGCAGAATATCGAAAGAGCTTCTACCGAACAGTGGTAAATCAGCAGGACCACGGCTGTGCTATGTCTTTAACGAAGGCGTCACGACTGCTATCCAAAAGTCGGACGCGAAGAAGGAAGCCATTCTTCTCAGCGGGCTTGCCCATGACCGGCAACGAATACCGTAAGCGTCCAGCCGACTCGCTCGACACTGGCTCTATAGTCACTGCTCTAGGTCTACGTTTCGTCTCTCTGATTCTTGGCGTAGGATAATAGTAAAAGATTTCAGATGACTGGTGCTACAACAGTTCTCGAGGAAGCCAGGTCTCAGCAAGTCCAGAGAACAACAATACGACCTTTCTCTTACCATTCAAAAATTCTGAGCAGTGCACGGACCAATCCATCAGTGCCAACCTCTTGGACTCCATCGATCAAGTAATCCGTCCATTATTCCACTTCGACTGGCCCCACCGTCCCGCCATCTACTCAAATTCTTATCTCCCAGCCTGCGACACCCTGCTCGTCTCGGCTACTGCCCACATGGAATTACGAACCCAATTGCCACGACGTTCTTACCTATTGATAGAACCTCGCGACTTTTCCATCGTGATGGAGCGGACGCTCCTTACGCGCGATGCGAGACTGGATCCAAAGGAGTTCATTGAAGCTTAATACTCTATCCAATATAAATTCCTATCGAGTGGGCCTGTTGAGGATGTTTCCGATGGTGATCTGATCAATTGTAACGATGAGCTGGGAAATACTTTCTGGTTCGGAGCCATCATCTACGTGAAGGAGATACTCCAAGAGTTCACGTACTTGGCCACCAGCTCTAGCATACTCGCGTTGAAGCTCAAGATTTCTCTCAGCGTGGTCCTGGCACCCGAAGCCATCCCAACATCGTCGTCACCTATCTTACGGCTGCTGGTCGTGGGTGGTGTGGCGAGCGTCAAGTACAGTATGGACCGTACACTGTTTGTTGCGTATCTATTGAGGCTGCGACGTGAACTTGGTTTGACGGATGGGAATATGTGGAAGAGACGTTGCTATGGATTGGGAAGTTTCTTGATAAAGCTGGCAAGAGGTTGCTGGAAGAGGTGAGGATTACAAGGAGAATGCTTAGTTAATGAAATGTAGCTTAAATATCTATTGTGATGCTGCCAGGTGGTATAGATACAGCTTATTATGGGCATCATAATGAAGTCAAAATGGAGTCTTTCTCAGCCTTCACCCAATTCCATTGAATTTCTAAACATCTGAGAGCCTGTTATGGAGTGGAGCTTGAATGGCCGAAGCTTCCTAACATATTAGTGCTTCAGGGGCCTTTCAGTACAAAGATGCTCTGCTGGAGCTCTTCTTGCCTGCGAACGGTCTTTTTCGTCAGTAAATGATCGGACCACTGGCAGAAAGGCACTACCGTCTCGAGTCACGTGATTGTACTGTACAAAGACATAACCTGCTGAGTCAGCTTGAGCAAAATGCTTGGCATGATTCCACGACATCTGCGATTGACAATCTTATGATTAAACTGGCACCTTCAAACCAACATGTCCTTCCCGTCCGCATGCCGGCACACCCTCCACCCTCAGCTCCTCCGCCAACCCACCATCCGCATCCGCCTCCCCACCACCGCTCGCGCCTACACTTCTCGCCGCCGCGCCGACGAAACCACCCTCGCCTCCGCAAGGCACAACCCCCGTCTCTCGGGCCCCTCGCTCGGCCATCTCATCACAGAGCTCAGCGCCACGACGCCGGACATGCTCAGGGACGGAGTGAGAAGGGAAGGCCACACGATGGGTGAAGAGCAGAGGACGCTGGCGCGCAACGTCGCTATCGGGACTGTGGGGCTGCCGCTTGCTTTTGGGGGTGTGGTTGTAGGTGTGGGGTGGCTTTGGGGTTCTGACGGTGGGGGTTGAGGGGTTCTCTGGTTCGGGTGGCGTAGAGAGCGCGGGTTGTTGTGCGTAAGGGAGGCGGAATTGGTATATATGCTATTTAGGACACAATTGGACTGGGTAAGCTCCGTCGTGTCGTCTCTGATGAACAAAATTCAATTACTCCATCTATTCCCTACAAAATGTGCTTGCTTTATTACAATACCAGACATTGATATCTCGACAGATCAACTCGGAATCCTTCCCCTCCTTCCTCTCCTCCGTGCCGTCGACACGTCCGAAACGGCTTTCCTCTCTCTCCTCTCTCTCCTCTCTCTCAATTAGAGAAAGATCCCGATTCCCCGCTGTTCCGCACATTCGTCATCTTGCTCGTCTTGGTCACTCGCCAGCTCTTCGTGCGTGGCTATTTGACAACATGGACAAGTCTCATACGGCTTGGGTGATAGCGGGGATAGCCAGCTTAAGACGCATGCAAGATATCCCCACGTGCAGGCAAGATGTTTTCGCCATCGGAGGACGAACCTTGCAGCCCAGAGTGAGAGGACCATCCAAAACACAATAAGCCAGCGCCAGCCCATAAAGTCGTTTTTCTGATGGAAGTTCCAACCGGGCGAATAGAATGCCCATACGATGTCTCCAATCAGCCAACAGAGCGCAATGACAAGCGCACAGTATCCTATGAAGCTGAGGACAAGATCCTTCAGTAGCTCGAATAGTGACACCATAAGTGCGTGGATAGCTTGCTTTGATGGCTTAACGCAGCTCGCCATGGAGGCTTGAGTGTGGTAGAGAGAAGCGGCAGAGGTATTGGGGTCAAGATCGTATGAGCTTGTGTGTCTTGATCGACGATCCTTTCGTAGAGGTATTCCGCTTCTGCGAAAGGCAAAGATGGAAGATTCACCGCAACGCAAGAAAGAGGTTCGTTATATCTCATCGCAAACATAGGCTTTACACTTGATAGAGCAAGTTTTCTTCTTTTTTTGTAGGATGTGTTATCAGAGCATACTGAACAATGAACTTATGGCTTCTTTCTGTTTGACGGTTTTAATTTCACCGGTTGTCGTCAGGACAAAAGAGCACAGATGACTCTCGCAGGTTGGAGTGAACCACTCCGCTCGATTATCGTCAATGCCACGGTTGCTTTTGTGTCCCAACAGAGTTAGTGAACATTGACGTGAGATGTCAAAAAGCAAAAAATCACATGGAAGGGTAAGTTCGGGATGCCTTTTGCCATCAGTGTGCAATTGATTTCTGAGGACGTGCAGACACTTTTGCTACGTGCGCTCGAACGCTGTAATCATCTTGCTTCCTCAGGGTTAGTTTCACGCTGGCCGAGAGGTCTTGGAACTTTGCTACCGTGGTTAGTAATACTACTGGGGCCCTGCTTGCACATTTTGGAATCGAACTACCTTCAATTGAAATATCTCAAGGCCTCCCCTGAATCATTTCCTTATATCCAGCCCAGAACTCTTTGATATGTGATGAACTCTCCCTTAACCTATCAAGATTCTCGCATATCGTCCATGACATCTCCCATCCCGAAGCCTCCTCTCGCCACCAAACCCTTCATCTTTGGACCCTCTACCCGAACCCTCACCGTCCACCCCTCCCACCCGGTTCCCATACCCAACCACTCCAAAAACGACCATCTCATCCACGTCAAGACCACCGCCATATCCGCCGAAAATCCGAGAAAAACAAACCACGCCCGGCTACAACCTCGCCGGAACCGTCATCACGGCTCCCCCATCCTCTCCTCTCCGCACCGGCGATGATCCACGCTCGCACGCGCGCGTCCCGTCCGGGAAACCGTCGCGGTTATGCCATCGCGCGGACGGAGGAGATGGCGCAGAAGTCGCAGAAGTTGAGGTGGGTGGAAGCGGCGATAAGGGCTCGGCAGGCCTTGTCTGAGCATGCCGGTGTGGAAGGGCTGGATGTTCCGGTTCCATTGGGGAAGAGGGTTCTGCTTGATGCCGCGGCGGGTGAGGCGGGGCTTTCGGCTTGTGCAATTGGCCTGGATCGTGGTGTTGGAAGTTGTGGCGCAGCTTGGCAGTGCGAAAACGATGTGTTTGGGCGTGTCAGAGCTTGTGAACTATAAAGGTGAGAGCTTGAAGGCATATGCCCGAAGAGAGGGGCTGGTGGATGTCGTGATTGATCCTTTGGGAGGAAAGACGTTGGCGGATGCGTGGTTTTGTGTCAAGGATGCGGGTACTTCGGTTAGTATATTCGAGTCGCCTGAAGGGAAGAGGCCGGGGGGGGGTGAAGGATAAGGTTGTGAAGGATGAGTTCTTCATGATGGGATATCGAAACTGCCGGACGAGGGCCAGTGTAAGGGGGTGGTGGACAGTGTGTGGGATTTCGAGGACTGCACGGGGGCATTTGAAAGGTTGGATGGGGGCCATGCTAATGGTAAAGTGGTGACCAAGGTTACCGAGTTGATATTTCAGGAGTGAATGTCTCGGTTCACGTATGGGTACGTCAATTTAGGATGAGATCCGACACCTCTTCTCCTTACCACAAGCGCTTATTCTGGAAGCCTTCTAAACATAACCTAGGACTGTCATGGTAATGATCGTTGCATATGGAAGGGCCTCGTACATGACGTTGCGACCATCCCGCATTGATTGCATTTTCACCTGTAGACGAAGCACCTGCGTCGAAGAAGTTACGGAAGGACTGGGTTCCTTCTAGAACAACTCTACAGTTTGCGAAGGAAATTACTTGAGATCGTCTTCTACCATCAAAGCAAGTCCTATACCAAAGGATCAGGACAATCTGCCATCAAGAAGGAACTGGAAGTCCCTTCTCTCAAACAGAAAATGTAGGGTACGTACGCACAGAACCATCCTGGAAAGTTGGCGAAAAGACACGCTTTCCGCGGCGCGAGAGCATGAGAGGATAGGGCGAGTCGGGGTCAGAGGTCAGTAAGATAGAGACGGCAAGGAAAAGATTTTGCCTGTACCGAGAATGACCACGTGAAGTCGGCATCAAGCACATAAGGACAACTGATGAAAGTGGCTTTCAGTTGATTCTTGAAGTATAGTATATAGCTCGTCAATGCGTGGGAATGTGTCTCTGATGAGTATGATATTTCGCAGCTTGATTTGATCATTGGATGCAAGTGTACATACGGCGCCCGACTCAAATCATAGCATCCATTTATACATGAAAGCGCCTTCAAGACCGGTCAGGAGCATGTCCTGAGAGCTGGACGCCGATGTTCAGGAAGGAATTGATCAATCGCGTCTAGAATACTGGAGATATCAAAGGAGTATCAGGTATCATGAAAGAAAACT